ACTAAAATTGGAACGATACAGAGAAGATTAGCATGGCCCCTGCGCAAGGATGACACGCAAATTCGTGAAGCATCCCATATTTTTGGTTACAAAGTCAATGCTGCCGTAACTGCTGTCAGCCCCTATGAAGATGATTTACCACCTCCACCAGCTGATCCTGACTTTCCACTTCCACCACCGCCTCCTGAGCCTCTCACACAGGAAGAAGAAGAAGCCCAAGCCAAGGCTGATAAAATTAAGTTGGCCCTGGAAAAGCTGAAGGAGGCCAAAGTTAAGAAGCTTGTGGTCAAGGTGCACATGAATGATAACAGCACAAAGTCTCTGATGGTGGATGAGAGGCAGTTGGCCCGAGATGTTTTAGACACCTTTTTGAGAAAACGCATTGTGACTGCAATGTCAACTGGTGCCTTTATGAAATATACCCTGAACTACAAATTGAGCGGTATTTTGAAGACCATGAAAACGTCGTTGAAGTTTTATCAGACTGGACAAGAGACACGGAGAATAAAATACTATTTTTGGAGAAAGAAGAAAAATATGCTGTATTTAAAAATCCCCAGAATTTTTACTTGGATAACAAAGGAAAAAAAGAAAGCAAAGAAACAATTGAGAAAATGAATGCTAAGAATAAGGAATCATTACTTGAGGAAAGTTTCTGTGAAACATCTGTTATTGTGCCAGAAATTGAAGGAGCTCTTTACTTGAAAGAAGATGGAAAGAAATCCTGGAAAAGCCGCTATTTTCTTTTGCACTCTTCTGGAATGTATTATGTGCCAAAAGGAAAGACAAAGACATCTCGAGATCTAGCATGTTTTATACAGTTTCAAAATGTCAACATTTACTATGGAACTCAGTATAAAATGAAATATAAAGCTCCCACTGACTACTGCTTTGTCCTAAAGCACCCCCAGATTCAGAAGGAGTCCCAGTACTTCAAGTATTTCTGCTGCGATGATGCACGGTTGAGCCAGTGGGTCATGGGAATCAGGATTGCCAAGTATGGAAAGACTCTTTATGATAACTACCAGCGGGCTGTGGCAAGAGCTGGCCTTGCCTCTCGGTAGACAAGCCTGGGGACTGCCAGCACAACTGCGCCAACTGCAGGACCTAAGCCCAGTTCTGCCCAGTCCAGTGGGCAGATTCCCCAAGCTGCCCATTCTGTTAATGCTGTTCTTGCTGAGGCCCAGAAACAGGTTGAAACGACTAAGGATAATGTGCCAGCCTTCAGTAACCACAACCTGAAAGCACCCCAAGCCCCCCACCTTCCTAAGGCCGGCCAGCCACCGCCCCCACCCCTGCGAACATCCTCGGACACCAGCCACAGCCCGTTGCCCTCCAAGCCCAGGAGCATGCCAGCGGGCTTCCCAGACCCACCTGAGGACTTCCTGCCGCCGCCCCCACCACCGCCCCCGCTAGAAGAAGATGAGCTCCCACCACCACCCCCAGAATTCCACGAAGCACCCCCAGACTTTGTGCCTCCCCCACCGCCTGCGATTGTGGGGAGCAAAGAGGCTTTACCACCTCCTCCCCCGCCCCCACCTGCTTTCATCCCAGAACCCAGACAACCGTCCCCTTCAGTGGGAAAGAGGCCTCCTGTTCCCCCAAAGAGGCAAGACAACCCGGGTCCCCCCAGCGGGGGAGGAAGTGGGGAGCAAGATTTCATGTCAGATCTCATGAAAGCTTTGCAGAAGAAAAGAGGCAACATGTCCTAAAAGGACATAGCCAGCTATTTTGTGTATGACAGATACCATAGTCATTTCTAACCTCAGATGCATTTTTGCTGTTTTATTTTTGTGACATCTCTTCATTGCAGGAAAACTGTTATTCTGATTAGAAATTATATAAAATGTCACAATTGTTCAAGTACATTTCTAATCATTACTCTTATCAGAGAATTTATAACACCTGCCTAAATATACATACCTTTTCTATGTTTGTTTACATAAATGCAATTTATCTTCCCTCCCAAGTAAAACTAAAACTTTCTGTTCATTTTTTTATTATGTTCAGGAACATCAAATTAATAAAAAGTTACGTTTCTCATGAAAATGCTGTTCTATGAATATTGCATAAATTCGGTGAAATCTCAGCATAAACTTTTTGCCAGTACAGTTGGTATATTTAGAAATCACTTTCAAAATCACTATGCCTTCTAAACCCTTTTTGCCCTTGGGTGTATTTCCTATTGCCATCTCAATGGCTTTGAGGAAAATCCAAAGAAATCAGAAGAATCCAAGTGCACAGTTTCTTTGAGACTCACTTATGATCAAGTGAGGTCCTATACATACACTATGAGGTTTTTAAATGGTTGAATACCTTGATAAAGTGGGTGAGGTAATATTGATTTAGATATTTTTTGTGGCATCTTTTTGTCATCAGAATGCTGTAAGTATCATTGGACAAGCAAGTCTACTGTAAAAGATCTCTTAAGTATTAAAAAGCAAAGACATTGCCTTGTGCACTAAGGTATGCCAAGCTCGTGCTGTGATACAGTCAGTTGCTTTATGTGCATGTGAAAGTTGGACAATGAATTAGGAAAACCAAAGAATTGATGCCTTAGAATTATGCTGAATATTGAGTTTAGATCCAGGAAGTATTAAAAGAAGATGGAAAGAATATACTGAGTCACTGTATCAAAAGGAATTGGCAGACACAGAAGAATTTCATGAAACAACATATGAGC